AAGGGTGAAAACCAGTCATAATTCACTTTTTTTTTTAGTGTTGTTGCAACTTCAGTCAGTCACCAAACAAATGGTTGCAAGTCAAGTATTATGTCTTCTTAGATTTAACTCAATTGCGCATGTTGTCCCAAATTCCTACAGTATTATGGATAAAGCAACCCAGAATGAGAAATTGGGAGTTTACAGAAATTTGTTTTATTTAGTGAAAGTGTTAACTTTTGCTATACCATCTTTTTTTTGGCCTTTGGTTTGTCCTTGGTGGATGTTTCATCCTCAAACCTAATGCCATGTATACCTCCATGCATTGTATATGGAAAAACAGCTGCATTTAAAAGGAAAATTGCACACTCTCCTATAGGAGGACTGTGAAAAGACCACTCATTGTTGGAGAATAGCATTCATTGTCTGAAAATAGTGAGCTTGCTTGCTGTAGCTGATGGTGATAGAAGTTCAAGTACAATCACAAAGGAAACAATGTAACCTTGCTCAACAGGAAAACCACAATAATTATCCTAAATTTTGTTCATATTGAACAGAACATGAGAGGCTGTAAGCAGAATATTAAAAGCAAGAGGGATAATAATATTAAAGGTGCCTTTATGTTGTAGTTTAAAGCTGCAGTTAATATTACCTAAAGCATATGCCTCCAAATGATAAGTTGTTATTCCTTGTGATCATGGTATACATATCATGAAACTTCATGAAGAATCCTCGTGCAATTTCCAAGTTTTATTCTTCTACTGATTGCAGAAAGCAAAAATTCATTTCCTGTTCAGAATGTGAACAGTATGTGTGTGTATGCGCGCACACACACAAAACACACATACCATTAATAATCATATGAGATGCTATTATAATCATTTTAACCTAAACTTTGTTCGATAGCATAATCCTTCCTAATATATTTGGACTTTTCAACTGCAGAAGAATGAGGTTGCCACATTTATGCATCATTTTTATGAAATTCAATGTGAAGGTCTCCATAGCTCTCTGACCCATTGGGCCTTGCCACAGACATGCTAGGTATGAGTTATTAATGCCGTCTCCACAATCAGAATTCTACACAGGTCTGTTTTTTCAGTTCCTCGAGATGTTTCTGATGCCTTCAAATATCAGAATAATTTGGGAGTCTCTATAGAAACTCTGCAGGTTCTGCTTGCATTAGTGTAGCATTCATAACCAGCTACTCTGTATGCTAAATTCCTGTCTCTGATCATAAGTGCTTTAGACCCAAAGCAATAGCCTGGTTTTATTTTTGATAAGAGAAAATTTCTTCTAATGCATAGCAGTAAATCAGTTTTCTCTTTTATCTATCCTTTCATGCATCTTGCTAGTTATGCTGCTTGTACTTGCCTGCTATAGCTTTTAATAAAGGACAAATTCTCCAGGAACAAAGGAGATGGATGTTTTCCCAGTGGAAAGCAGCCTGTCTTCAGAGGGTCTTCTCAGATTTTTATTATTACATTTTGTACACTCTTACTATAATACATATTTTGTTTCTGATTCACTTCCTCTAGATGTATGCTGATTCATTTTCAACAGTAGTCATGCTTCAGCCTTTTTCCCTTGGATATTCTTCTTGTGCTCATCCACTTTGTTTTAACTTAACAGGATTCTATTCTATTTCATTTCATTTTTGTTTATATTCAGATTTTTTAAAACTTGATTTCTATAAAGGTGTATCTTTTGCAAAATAAAGTACTTCTGTTCCAGTGTCCAGTCAACCTGAGACAGGAACCATGAAGCCATTTTCAGAAGATACAGGAAGACTTGATGAAAGTAGAGAGGGAGAGAGAAAACTTTTTTCTCTTGCATCCTACTCAAACCATTTATTATAAAGGTGTATAAAGGTTCAGTTCAGATGTTACTGTGGATGGAACTTTATGGATTTTGTGATCAGCTTCATCCGAATGTGTTCCGATTGCATCCTCCATCTCTGTCCTATTATAAAATAGAAAACTGCAGAAATCAGAATACATCATTTTGATACCAAAATCCATTATATAATGTAATGTTTTTCTTTGTATTTTATGTTCCTCTCTAAATACCTGTTACCTGCATCATAGTTCTCCAAAAAGAAAATACCCCTGAATCTTAGATAATTCCTTCAATAAAGAAAAAGAAAGGTGACAACAATCAAACAATAATGTTCTGCAAACCTCAATTTCTCCATCTTGCCAGCCTTAGACTGGAAACTGCATCTGAAATCTTTCTGAATATCACTCAGTCAGATGTATGTTTATTATTTGTATATGTGTATATACATATATGTGTGGGCATATATATCTGACTATAAGCAAGATTAGGAATGTGTCTGTGTATTGAATTAATATCTACTGACTAAAATTAACTGCATATATGAAGCAAGCCTGTTTATAAAATAAATCATATACTGATCACTCTTATATATTAATTTAATTAGCGATTACACTTATACAGATAAAACTAGTAGAAAAAGAAAAATTTAATAGAGAACAGAAAAAAAGAAAAAATGAAGACGTAACTTCCCGCTTGTTACTAGTGTTTTTAAAACAGCTCATCACCTTTCTTTAATAAGAAAAAATATCTCTTCACTCCATATCTCATCTCCTTATTTAGAAACTCAACATTCAGTTTAATCAGGAAAAGTCCATTAAGTGTTACCATAAATAACAAAATATCTATTTTAAACTTAATTTTTAAAAAAACGTTATCATTTTTTCTTTTCCTTCTATATCTCATCCCTTATGTTCAAAGAAACCACCAAAACCCCATCATTCAATCATAATTAATGAAAATCCATCAGGGTTTAACACATAACTAGATTAATGTTAATCAAAGATATAAAATAATTAAGATATAAATTAATCAAGATATAAAATACAAAGTATATTAATATCTCTTACCTGAAAACAGATCCTTAAAACCTTTTGGTTTGGTCCTGATCAGCCAAAAGTCCTTTAATGGTTGTAAGTGATAGCAACCTATCTATTTTACCCTTGATCAAATAAGCCAACTTTATATTCCTTCTCATTATTCCCTGAAATTTTAGTCTTTATTCCCCACAAATAATGCCCTTACTTTCTTTCTTTTACTTTCTTTCTTTCTCTTCCTTCCTTCCTTTTCTTTTCTTCTTTCTTTCTTTTTATTTTCTTCTCAGAAAAACCTTGAAAATTTTAACTGATCTTTCTTAGAGTTTAATTTATTTTCATGTTTGCTCTTGTTGCAGAAATTTTAATTTTTAACAGGTCTCTTTTGTACATCCATTACAGGATATTCCTCTTCTGGTTTACTATTAAAATGTCCCTTTTAATTGTGGAAGCATGGTCCAATTTTATTTATATAAGCAGTTTATTATCTGCTTGCATATTGTATCATTCTTATAACTTCTCAATTCCAATTCCACATTTAAACTAGTTTCAGTCTTATGAAATAAAACTCATTCCTCTTCCACAAAAATTACAATCCATTTATCTATAATGACAGATATTTTTAAAATTCTTTCTATTATTCCCATATGTCCTTAATTACATCTAATGTTAAAATATTGTGTTCTATTATGGGCAAATAATTTGTGTGTTTCTTCTTTAAACACAATCCTTAGTTCTTTCTGGTTCCCTCTAGTGTCCAAAACTTCAAGATCCATCTTACATTTTATTTTTGCAGGGAGTTTTAAATCCTATTTCACATCTATCTGAATCTTTAGACAATTTAAATCTTTCCAAGATCTAATCACTCCTTTTCTGTTTACTCCAAAAAGATTTTTTTTTTCTGAATTCATAAATTACAAATCCTTTCACTATGAATTGAAGGGGATTCACCCAGTGAATACTGTAAAACCTGCTGTTCCAATATTTCTATATTTAAAAAACAATAAAATTAATCCCAATAGTTACTGAGAAATGAGGATCCATTTAACATAAAATCCTTAGAGGCTACATTATACTCCTGAACTTGATGAAATCCCTCAGGTCCCAGTTGTTTGACACACAATCAACCTCAGGAATGTCAGTTCCTGCCATCTAGTCACAAATAGCAAGTGTCCAAAGTACATATGGATGATCTTAGTCTCTCCTTTTTCAGGAGAGATTTCAGTAGTCAGGTCCAATATCTAGCCACCAATTCAGCCATAATGTTTATCTCATTCAGGATGTGTTTACCACTGGAAATACTCTTTTGTTTTATTTTTTAGCCCTACCAAAGCATCACTCCCAAACCCAAAATTGCACAAGTTTACATGTATACATTCCTTCCCCTTCTAATAGACTCAAAATGAAGGAGAAAAGGATAGAGAAAGAAGGAGAGAAAACAATACTAGGTTAAGAAGGGTAGAGATATTCACACAAAAGAAAAGGGAAATATTGTTGGGTATTACCAAAAGGGTTGGAATTCTAGGTAAGAAGCCCCAGACTGGCAACTGTTCATCTATGAACACTTCTAAATTTTGGCCATCTACACCTCTCATCCGTTTCCTCATTTTCACAGCATCTTTTAATTTTATGAAATGACCTTTCTTCAAAATCATAGGTAATTGTTTAGGGGGGAAACTTGCTTCCTTGTTAGGTAAATATGTGTTAAGAGAAGGAGTGGCAGAACCTGGGTGTTGGGTCAAAAGAGGAATTAGCCTAGAGTCTCTAATTCCCACAAGCAGTGTTAAGTCCAACCCCTCTTAAATTCTCCTAACCCTTATCTAGCATCAAAATAGTGCTGTTGACTAGATTCCTGTGCATATGAGCAATAAATCAGTTTAATTGAAAATTAGTGTGAACTTTTGTGCCTGACAATATGATGTCTATTTTTTTGTATCTTAATACAGAAATATTTTGCAGTCTTATAATAGTGAGATGTATCATTTCTCAAATAAGAACAATGACCATCAATTGCTCATGGTCATGCAATAATTTGTGGTTGCAATAGAGACAGAATCATGATTTCTCAAGAACCAGCCACTTTGGCCAAGATGCATGTATAACAAGCATATGGGAAAAGCCCTTAGACTTAATTTCTTTTTCTTTTCACAGAAACGAGTGTGCAAAAATTTGGAGACTGTTCCACAGGCAATCAATCCCTGCCTTCCATTAAGCAACTGTTTTACGGATTACTGGGCTGTGAAGTGGAATTTGAAGGAGAGTGATCTCACTGAATTGTTCAGTCCTCAGATTATGAAGGAGAAACCAAGTTATATGGTATGTTTTATAAACTGGGATCTATGCTATTAGGTTCACTGTTTTATAACAAAGAGGTCAAATAGTGATTTTTACCTTGTTTTGAGAAATCTGTATATATGTGCTTATTAATCAGATATTTACGGATAATGAAGCCAAAGCTACTGCCCAGCCGTGTCCAAGATGTATTGCTGGTGAATCTGTAAGTATATTAACCCTCTTACTGTGACATAAGATAGGCTTGTTCTTAAATATTAGAGCCATAAAACATAAGGTTAATAAAAAAAACAGCAATTACATTTCTCAGGGATAAAGCATGTAAATAAAAGCAGCAGATTGATTTAGCTTTTTCTTGGTATGCTAGCAGAGTGCAAACTAATATGTTTCCTGCATTAGGTTGAAAATATAGGGAATGCAGGCTCGTTTTTCAAACACACTCTAGAAAGCAGAATTCATTCACCTAAATTAATCTCAATGCAAGTTAAGGCATGTATTACTCTATTCCTGTTTGGAAACATTTGAGATTTACAAAGAGATTTTAGAAGTATTTCTACAACACTGGAGGGGGGGAAAAGTGCATATTATTCTTTGATACCTTCAATCTAAGACATAACTTAATTCAACTACAGTTCTGAGGTTAAGCAGAGTTGCTTTCAACCCAAGGAAGATGATATTCCTCCAAGCCAAAATTCTTAGTGCAAATTTCCAAATACTTTAATATTCCCAGTTGTGGATTTTTTTAAAAAAAATTTAAGATAGTACAATTGGTCAGAGCAAACCTAAGGAAATAAACAATTAAAACAAAGTAAATAAGGGTATGATTTTTAACTTGTTTTCATTAAACTACACTAACCCTTAGAGTTGAAATCTCCTTTCATATTCCAATACTATGAAAGCCAGTGAAAACAGAATTATTTATGAACAAATTTGATAAATGAGAAAATTAAGTATTAGTAAATGTTTTATTTTGTTTCTATGTAATATTTGAAGTAGGTTCTCCTTCATATAATCCACAGTGATTTCTTGACAAAGGAGGCAATGGTTTTTAATTAAAAGTTGATACGCCTTTTATCTTAGGATAGGTTGGCTGCATTGTGTTTCTAACATTCATTAGCCATAAACTTATGAAACATTTGAGAAGCTGAAGTGGTATCTCTTTGCTTAAATACTGTAGCTTTAAAGAAGGCTTATATCATTTCATGGAACATGTTTTCATAAATAGTAGCTGAGAGAGCTACTACTCTTGTTACCAGAATTGAAAATGGAGTATAGCTACTTTAGTTGTATTCACATTTTGTCTTCCTGGCCCTTCTTTGAAAGAAAGCTGGACATTGTGCATTTAACAAAGCCATTATTATGTTCTTTAAAAGAAAGAAAAAAATACTGCAGATTCAATTCAGAAAACATAGGATTTTTGGAAATTGCATTGGAGTTCACACATTGTGCTAAGATTTAATATGACCTATTTGATTTTAATAGTGAATTATATAGAACCAACCATTGTAGGCTATAAGCTTGCTTTGTATATCCATGTGATAAATTAATCCAACCAACTTGGTTTATTCAGCAATTCATGCTGGATGTCAGTTCAGCTTTTATTTGAATGAACATGTCCAGCTCTAGTTAGTATCTGGCTGCCAGCAACATGATTCTTTTTTTTTAGTGTAGTATTTATAACCTTCCAACTTCGACAAAACTTCAAATCTTACTGCAGTACATTTCTTTTCTATCTTTATTGTGATAGAAAATTTATCTGAATAACAAACCTTGCTTTCAATTAATACAATTTGTTTTTCATTACAGGGACACTTTGGTCACATGATGGGTTTATAGAAGATCAAAGGACATTGATACAGAGGATAAGCTCAAGCTTATCAAACTTATGTATGATAAGCTTGAGCTGCTAATATTTTCTCTACTTCTCTTAAAAATTCTTATAGGTGTAAAAAAGACGTAAATAAGTAATATTTTTAAAAGTATTTTCAGTAGAATCCCAGTTTGATTTGTTTTTTAATATTCTATATTATCTATTGTTTAGAGAAAAAAAAAGTTCTCCACTTCTAATACATACGTATCATGTATTACTAGCAGCATATTTTCCTGAATATAAGTTCTTAATTGCATTATTTTCACTGGTACATCTTGCATTGAACACCCAAAATGTGTGTTGTTTCTAAATGAATGTTGACAGTAATGGTCAGCAGTAAACATCTGTTTCAAATAGAGATCTATTCTCCCAATCTTAAAACAATATCAAAGAAATTAAATTTTGCTGATTAGCAATATTCTGTGCACTTCCACCATTTAGTAAAACTACTTTCTAATACAATCCCACAAATTCTAGGGAAAGGGGAACTGGGGAACTTTAGAATTAACTCACCTGGGGAGCAATAAATTGGGAGAGATTCTTGCTGGCTGAATCAATCCTGAGTGACAAAAAACAAAATGTTAAGATAAGAACTATTTCTTTTTTACATGAAATAAAAAATGAGTCAAATGAATTGCTTGCAGTTCTTTGGTTGCTGCAAGTAAACCTTATTTTAATCTGCATATTTGCTGACTATGTCATAAAATGCCCTTGAGGTTGTTCAAATTATGTTAAAATGCAAGATTAAATCAATTACTTTTAAAACAATTTTTAAAAAGTATACATCTGGTACATTTTCATGGATGTATTTGTAATTCAGCATTACAGCAAGAAGACATAGACCTACTTCTAATAACAAAGTTTATGGAAGCACTTTATATTAAAACATTAGGACCTTTTAAAAATAATATATTTTTCTGCTAAGTGAATTAACAAAAATGTATAAATAATGCCAGCACTGTAATGTAATATCAGAATTTAAATAAAAGTTCTGTCATATGATTTTATGTATTTTAGCTGAAATATTTAGCAACTGAAACCTGGTGAATTAAACTACCAATGGTTTATTGCTCCTTCTGACTTTGCAGTTCAATCAAATACTTTTTGCTCGTGATTGTAATATAGTTATGAATAAACTATTAAGAATATAATTAAGGAAAGGGAGTACAATTCTCTTCTGTTCCACCACAAAACAGTTATGCCTTTGCAATCCAGAGACTGAGATATTCCTTCAGAATGTTATCAACAAAGCAGTTTCCAAATCAGCAGCTTGAAGAGACCTATGACTGCATTCTGATGGACCCTTATCTCTGAAAGAGTCTCAATGAACAAATTGTCAGGGTTCGTCTTCTCTATGTAATACTTTACCTACAAAAGTGAGGATGACCTTCACTCTTACAACCTGCCAGGGAGTTATAAAGCCTTCATTTGGGACGATTGATTCCAAAACTGCTGATTTAGTTTTAGCATACAGTATTTGTTTATTGTTTAGATATTATTATAATATTTTAATACATATTCTACAAGTTGCCCAGAGTCTAACTGCATTGGACAATAAATACATTAAGTGTGTTAGGAAAGACTTCCTTAAATTTCGCAGGATTTTTGACAAGGTGCATCCCATCTCACCAGGCCCATCTGATATTGGCAACATTGGCTGTAGTGTAAGACTATTATATAGAATCCAGCATTTTGTAGATTCCATCAATGCAATCATTGCCTTTAAATTTAGGGCTGAAGCTTACATGAATCATTCATTGGATTCTACATTTTCTTATTCCAACATTATCTCCACATAGATTATGAAACATAGGTGGCAAAGAGGATGACAGGTAAATCTGTCTTACTTTATGTCTCCCACCACTTACTGGAAAATAAATGTAGGAGTGCCATTCACAAATCTGAAGTTGTTGTTTGTATGTATATTGGAAGACTTCCTAGACTTTTATTCAGTTATATGTATGATTTATTGTATACTTTTTAGTATAACCCAAGGTTGTTTTTGCTCTGTAGAAGCAGGTTTTAAACACATGCATGTCATCCGCCATTTATAACTATTTGTTGAGTAACCAAAATTACAATGGTACTGTAAAAAGTGACTTATTCCTGTTTTTCACTCTTACGGCCATTGCAGCATTCCCGTGGTCACATGATCAAAATTTGGACACTTGGCAACTGGTATCTATTTGTGGTGGTTGCATGACTTCCCCACCCTAAGATACCTCCTGTGCACTCCCTTAGAAAGCAGAGAGTGATCAGTTTATTTTATGTGATTCACTCCAATGAATCCTCAGGTTACGAATTTAATTGGCAGGTTCCATTATATTCATAACTCAAAAACTCTTAGACTTTTTTAAACTAAGAGATCCTAGAATATTTATATTGGCAAGCATTCAGTGGGGAAATACAATTTTATATTGTACATCATACCTTTTAAACCTTACATTGAATAAACATTTGGGATTTTTGCCCTCAAACTAAGTATAAGTTTTGTCTCCAAATCAAATTGGACAAAAATATCATAACCACAGAATTGTGTTGAGAAATGTTAACCACTTTTTCATTTTATAATAGAATAATTAAAAATATAGATACATAGTAATATTTTTTGTATATAAAATCTAAGAATACTACTTTCCTGAATGTAAAACAAAGAAATTGATACAGCAATTTACATTTTGTTGCATAACTTTAAAACTTTGTATTTAGTAAATTATAATTTATTATTATTTTTTTAAGCTGGAGTATTAAATAGCATATTTGCTGTTAAGGCTGACAATTATGTTTTTAAAAGATCTGTTAATGTGTAATAAAAATTTATTTTACCTTTCCTAAATTTATCTTCCAAATCTGCCCAGGTAAATTGTATTTCATGTTCTCCCTTCACTTATTTCCTCAGAAATAAATAAAATAGAATTTAGAAGACTAGTTTGCTGTGTAATTGAGAACTTGACATTCTTCACATTTGAAAAGTGCTCATCATTAGTGATTTAATAGGAAAATTTTTATGTGAAATTTCAAATATAAGCTATCATATGGTAGAGCTGTCACTTCCAGTTTGTCCCATGATGATGGCTTCCAGTTCAACTATATATGTTGCTTCAATTACTAATATTGAAATGTTTCTGTTATCAAATAGTTTTATTTTGAACAAAGATCACGCTTCCTTAAATGTTTCCATGTATTTATGATCTAATGTAATTCTCATAGATTGTATATTTTGCAATCCAGTTTGACACTTTCTCCTACTGCATGAGTATCTGGTACAGATTGCAGTGACATAAAAGGTGAAACCTCTTGATGCAAACCCTGGCCTTTTGCACTTGTGCCATGATGTCAGGCACAAGTAAATAAATGAAACAATTTTCAACGTGATGTCATGTTACCGTGTTTCCCTGAAAATAAGACCATGTCTTATATTTTTTAAACCCCCAAATAAATGCTTGGCCTTATTTTCGGGGAGGTCTTATTATTTTGAGGCGCATGGAGCAAGATGAGGCTTCTCTTGCTGTCTTACCTGATTTCCAGCTCTGTGTTTAAATATTTTTGGGGAAGGCTTATTTTCGGGGGGAGGCTTATTTTAGGGCATGCGCTCAAAAGCCCGATTGGGCTTATTATCAGGAGATGTCTTATTTTCAGGGAAACGGTACTATTCCATCCTTCATTCCCCACCCATTTAAGATGACTATACACACGTTAATAGGGAGATAACATTTCATGCATCCATTGTGGGTTCTAATCCACAAAAGCGTATGCCAAATTAAGGATGGGAGCTTTTAAAGTGCAAGAAGGATGTCTGCATATTCCCAAACTACTTCTTCTTGAACTCTGGTGAAATATAAACCATGAGCCTTGCTCTCAGGAAGGCTCAGTAGGACAAAAGATCCCCCACCCCAAATGAGTGAATATTCCTCCCCTGACATGTAAGCATTCATCTATAATGTGAAAAATAGAGACAAGATGATATAGATAGTATATATTCAGCAACTTGCATTTATTCAAAAAGAAAACAAACATTTCAGGGAAATGTAAAAAAAGGCAGATTTCTGAATCTAACTTTACTTGAAAAGAGGTCTGTTCAAAACTCAAAACTCAAGTTTCATTACAGACCGCTTGATTCTCAGACTTCTCCAAGTTTGTTTTCATTTCTTAATTTCTTTCTAGACTTTCTCAATCTGCATTCCACAACCTATTTCTTCAGCAATTGACCTATAGAAGAATCCCTGGAGTTCATAGTTTGACCTCAAGGCTCTTTTCCCCCAGAATTTAAGACTTTGTCTTTTTAGTATTCATTACATTACTATATTCTGAATTTGCTTGGTCAATCTACTACTTGGTGGTCCTTTTTCTCTTTTGAAGTAGTATCCCTACCTCACATTTGTGACCAGGTGTGCCTTTTAAAAATACTTTAGCTCCTATTTATCATACCCAAATATTAAATAGTTGCACTTTATAACATACAGTATCACACATTCTACATTAGATACGCAACAAAAATGAATCAGGCGGATGTAACTTTCACTTTAGTTTCAAATTAGGCCTGAATACTTTTTATAGATAAACATCAACAATGAATATATTATTTAAATAAGTAGAATGTGGGAAATGTGGTAGCAAATATCTCAAGTATCGTACTATAGTGGATTATATAACAATAACAAAACAAAATAACATAACATAACAACAGTGTTGGAAATGACCTTGGAGGTCTTCTAGTTCAGGGGTCACCAACCTTTCGAACGTCAGGGACCACTAAATTCATAATTTTAAATCCCGCGGACCACTAATATGATCTGCCTAATGACCAGCTGGGTGGGCGTGGCAAGGTAGTAATGTGACTGGGTGGGCATAGCCAACTCAATGTCACTCACGTTGAGGGGTGCCTGACAGCCTCTACTCACTACTTCTCGCCTGCCTGTACAGGCTCCTTAGGGCCTCAAAAGGAAGCAGTTGTTGGAGCTAAACAGCCACCATGAGAAAGAGCTGGCAAAACAGCTGACTCAGTTCAAATTGGATCTGACCGAGAAGGAGGCTCAGCAGACGCACCTCACTGAGGACTACGAGCAAAGGCTTTCCAAGCAGAGGGAAGACCTACAGGAGTGCAAGGCCAGGTACAGGCGGCTGGAGGCTCAGTGGGATGAGATGGTCAGCCAGTTCCAGGCCATGATGCAGTCCCACTGGAAAGAGGCCCTCCGGCTCTTCGCCACCAGCTGCACTTCCCTCCAGCCTTCGCCCAAAGCCCCGTACCAAGAGGCTGAAGCAGACCCCAAGTCGGAATTTCTGCCCCCTTCCGACCTGCACAAAAAGACCCAGAAGGGAGAAACTGCAGCAACACAAATGTTCATTGCACATATCCGGCCCAGGGGCCGTAGTTTGAGGACCCCTGATTTATTGCAATATTAAAAAATGCAAATAATTTTTCTGCAGACCACCAAAATTTTCTCATGGACCACCAGTGGTCCACGGACCACCAGTTGGTGACCACTGTTCTAGTCCAACTCCCTACTCAAGCAGGAGACCCAATACCATTTCAGACAAATGGTTGTCCAATCTCTTTAAAAGCCTCTAGTGATGAAGTGTGCGCACAGCCTCTGGAGAGAAGCCATTCCACTGGTTTATTCTTCCAGGCCAGGCAGAAGAGCCAGACCAACATTCAAGGAAAAGGCCTTGACTTTCTTAGCCTGATGTCCTCCCTTCCAGCCCTAAAAAAGATCAACCAGAAAGAGATCCTTCCATTTTCATCTGCCAATCCGTCCGCCCATATCCCTGCAGATTAAAACCATCAAGAAAAAGCAGTTCAGAGAGCCAGGAGAGGGGCTGATAGCCTCTGACTTGTACAGTCCCAATTCTGCTCAGAGCTTCCACCTGGTACTTTCCCATATATAAATAACTCCCCAGAATTTTCCATATATAAATAACTTTTCCATGGATTAGATATGAAACTATTCTATTCTACTATAACATGGAAAAATTAAGGCTCTGATCCTATATGTACTTACCTGGGAGCCTATTTAACTGAACTCAGCAGGATTTATTTTTGAGTGAAATGTATAACCATACTGCCTTCCTTGGCCCATTACCTTTAATTTAGGAAACATTGCTTGATCCCAATAAATAAGGTTGGATACCTTAGATAAATGTAGAGTAATCTGAAAGTGTCAGTTACCAAAGTAATAAGTCAAACAAGGAAGCTGGCATCATATATAATCAAGATACCAGTATATTACTATAGACTGATAAGAACCTGGGCAAAGGTTTCAATAATAGAACAATTTGTGTTCCATCTCTAAGTCTTGGGTTGAAACAAGGATAATATCCCTCCAGTGAATCATCAGAAGTTGCAGCCTCACCACATTTTTCTTTGATGACTAACATTTACAGCATTTATCTATATTAACATTTTACATCTGATTTCTCCATTTTTACCCTTACTGCCATTTAACTTTGTGTTAAGCTTTCTTCACTTTTTTTTGTCTACTCCAAAACCATTTTTATTTCCATTAGTTCACTCTGAATTTTCTGCATCCTATTCAAATTTAACTATTTCTTGCTCTCTTTGAACAAATTCTTTACAACTGTCCATTTTCTCTATATACCAATAGCACAATGCATTTTCCTCAACTTCAGTTTGTACCATAATTACGGTCATGCATTTTCTCTTCCATAATACCTTTCCTTCATCGTTCCAAGTAAGCATCTTTACTTTAGCATGACTCCACAAACATAAGTGGCATTTTGTAACAAAATAATTTCATATTATTCCAACCTATGAATTATGAATATTTATATATTATCCAGTTCCTATTATCAGTTTATTATGTGAAGTGCCCATAGCAATCTAGATGGCGCTAATTCATACCTTCTGACATGCATTTCTGATAAATATCTTTCATTTATCATTAAACTATACTTTCCCTTTCATACATGGATTCAAGCTTACTTCAAAGATCAGATGATTATCTGGTTCTATTACATATTTGTGATGCCAACATGCTTCTTTTCCTTCCCTTCCCCTCCTACACTTCCTTCACTACCTCATTCCTTTCTTCTATTCAAAGCAATCTTAAAATAATTTGGATTAGCCTCATATAATCCCCTTATTTATAGGCACTTAACACTTATAGGCATGTATAGGCATTTAGGTACTTATTAATAAACATATAACATTCTTTCACGTTTAGAGGGAAATGTTGTGTAATTTCTGTATAAGACAAAGACTAGAAATATGACTCCAAGCTTTCTCTAAACATACAGTATTTAATTAGGGCTGACTTCATACTGAATTGAATTATGTCTTGAAATGTTTTAGTAGTGTTACTTTCTGAATCTGGCTATACATGTATGCATTTCTATTGTTACTAGAGTAGTATAGAAACTATACTATGCATGGATATTTGCTTGCAACACAGGATGTCATTCATGAGTTATACATAAATGGCAGCTTTACATATTTAAAGGAAACATGAACAGCTTCATATCTGAAGTATGCTTCCCAGGGGGTACCACTACCATTTGATCTATTTTTGATTAAAATGTAAAAATTAAAAATTAAATCAAATGGTAGTATAACTCCTTAGGGAAAACATACTTCAGTTATGAAGTATTCCCTGTAGCAACCTTGAAAATCTTACAGCTGTATTGTCTCATCAGTAGGTGGTCCTTTTATGTCACGCATAATTAAAATGAATGGCTGTTAGAGAGCCCATACTACTGCATACAGATTTATGAAGCTGGAGGCACCTCCATTCAGATGTAAACACAAAGTAACTGTGAGGGATAAACAGCAAGAGGATAGGTATCAGTGAGATATTTCCCTGTGCCATAAGAGGAAGGACCAGGTGTATGTCATAAAACATTATGTACATGTCTAGTAAAAAGAATTTCCTGGAGAAAGATAATAATGCAATTTGATTAAGCTTATACTGCCTTTGCTATGCAATTCAGTTCTGCCTTCTTCAGCTAAAATAGAATAAGAACTTTAAAAGTATGAAGGAATGATCAGTGTCACCATAAATAAAAAAGTTATATTAGATTTACTAAGAAAATGTGCTTTGCAAACTCTACTTGTGCTCATCAGGCTCCATGGATAAGATAGCAAAGTAGGGATTAAGAATGGAACTACAGAATTTGCATTCCGCATTTCACAGATCCAAAGAACCAAATCTCACAAGTGATTTTCTTGCGCAGGGAGTGTGATTTGATTCCTTTAGCAATGTCATTATTTTCTAAGCCATGATATATAGCTGCATGTATATTGTGAGAACTCATATTAAAAAAATCTTGAAAATACAACTACAAATATAGTTTGTGATCCATTGATAAATTCTACTCAGAATAGTTCTGCGCTACATAGTAGCCTTAAGTTCTGGTACTTTACTCTGAAACATGACCATCTACAGCAGTGAGTTGAAGTTCATCTATGATGCCACACATTTATGACATTATTCCATAAATAATGCCAATGTTGTACTATGTCTTATTTCTGTTCTGATGACACAATCAGCTGTATAAATTACATAATTCTTATCCATTGGATGGTGATCTTATGGTGCAAGATGTCATCATGGCTTATACTGTATTGGACAGGTTTGACAGAAGAATCAGCCAAGGGGACTCTTGGCAGCACAGAGCTTTCCCAGGCAGGAGGCAGTGCTTTTAGATAGAAGTCCAGATTAAGAGACTATGTAGTCCCAAACTAAAGGGGAGGGGAAAGAGATTCAAAATAACCTAGAATCTGTCAGGATATACAAGTAGTCCTCCACTTACAACCATTCATTTAGTGACCGTTTACAATGGAATTTTGTAAAATTTTTAACGGAAATTTTTACGGAAAAAAGTGACTTATGACCATGTTTCACACTTACAATTGTTGCAGTATCTCCATAGTCACATGATCAAAATAGTGGATTATAATATCTTATGCTTCTATTTAGGCTATTTTAAAAAAATTAATACAGTTTTAAAAATGAATTTCCTGAAAATAATGTAGATGTAATCTTTAAAACTAGAGAATTATAAAAAGTATGTTGGAAAACATTAGGGATAATCCAAAACAATGAACATTCATTCATTCATTCATTCATTCATTCATTCATTCATTCATTCATTTATCTGTTTGTTTGATTGTTGAAGGTATACAGCCACACGTCTTTACTTTGTATCTCTAGGAAACTCACAATAGAAAAAAATATAGATATATAGACTTTCATAAAAGCACCAAAATGTACTCAAGACCCTAAAAGACATCTCCCAATCAAAAATATATACATATTAAGTTCCATTAACAGCCTGGTCTCACTGCCTGGGGTAAAAGCCAAGGCTTTTAAGGCTACCCAGTTGGGGAGATGTACAAATAAACTAGCCTTGTGCAATGCAAGGCTTTATTGGTAATCACCAGTGCTTTAAATTGTACACAGAATTCCACTGGGAGTCAGGGCAGCTCACAAAGCATGACATTACATTATTCAGTTAAATATATGCTTAAATGCTATTGGCAGTAGGCTGTTTGGGCAGTATCTTCCCATCCCCACCATTGAAACAAGCTATATAAAAGATAATCATTGGAGCTATGCAGAGAGCACTTTAACTTTGGTTGGATTGTGTTTATCATTAACGTTAATCCAATAGCAAATTTCAGATTCACCGTGCTAGCTGTAGGTCACAGAGACAGCCACATAATCAGTCTGACTCCCTTCTAATAATAAGAGTTCCGGAAGCAGGCATATCATAGCCCTGGATATGGCGATGAAAAGTCAGGATTTTCAAGGAGTTCTGACATACCAAGAGCTGGAAAATATTTTCCTGAACTATCTGAGCAAGCAACCATGGAGGAATTAATTTTTGCAATGTTCTCTTGGAATCGTGCTGCTTTAATCACCCACTGATACAAATACCTTATGAAGATGCTTGGATGCCAACGATTCTACTTCAGAAACCCCCTAGGTTGTTTTTGTCACCATGTGTTTCTTAGATAGGAATTAGTATGCAAGAAGACTTAATAGTGTCATCCTTTTGGGTTTTTGTGTTACCTCAAGGTGGTGTCCTCCCAGAGTTGAATTTCTCCTGTGAGGTCAGATCAAAATACAAACCTCTGTTTAAGGTTTTACCCAATCAAGCAAACAAACCTAAAATAACAGAATCATAGGGAAGCATTTGTTTTTTTAAAAAAAGTCAATAAAATTAAGCTAAATAGTTTGAAAATATACCAAAAGTTTCAGTGTACCAGCTTAAGCATGATCCCTTAATACTTTCACAAATAGTTAAGATTATACATCACTTCAGAAAGATGAGTGTATTTCTAAGGGAAGAAAGCTTAATACTATATAATGCCATGGGAAATTTAACATATTGTGCAAACAGCATGAAGTTCAAGTATGGTCTCATATCAGCCAACCAGAACAGTTCAAACAGGATACAGGAAGCTACAGAAATGTGCATAATTTCCCTTGCAACACTCCCCTGCTATAATTAATAAAATAGACATGGTCTGATCTGATGGTATTCTGTGTGAGGTATGCTCAGTGCCTGGAGGTGGCCCGATCCCTTTTGTAATATTTCCCATGAGCAGGCATCAGCAATTGATGAAAAATATTGAAAATTAGCCATATTTTACCCACATATATTTTCCCCACAATGTTTTTACAGGAGTACAAAGGAAAAAGGTTGATTAACCCATCCATAAGTTTAACAGTTTAATAAATTTAACCTATAAAATGCCACACAGATGAAAATGGCCTTTGTTGAAATAATAGAAATACCACTATAACTTCAAACATTGCTCCAACTTTAGTCATACCCTTCAGCAACATTGATGGAGGTGATAGGAATTCATATAAAATATTAATGGAAGAGCTAGGTCAAAAATAAAGTCCACTTAAAAATAAGTTTGTAAGAATAGTTTTGGGAGCCATTTTGGGGTAATGGTTAAGGCCCCAGGCTAGAAACCAGAAACCTGTCAGTTCTAGGCCTATCTTAGTGTTCATGTATACGGTATATGAATGTGAAAAAATGAGAAGGAAAGAAAATAGAGGGGATAAAGTGAGGGAAGGGAGAAATATACATATTATGTATGTATATATGTATGTGTATATATACATGTGTGTGTGTATGTATATATATAATGTTACGTTACGTTACGTTATGTTATCTTATCTTATCTTATCTTATCTTATCTTATCTTATCTTATCTTATTATCTTATCTTATCTTATCTTATCTTATCTTATCTTGATAAGTATTCTTGACAGAACTTCATTCAGAAGAGGTCAGAACTAAAGCCCACCCTATTGTCTCCAGTTAAAGAAGCAGTATCCATGGAAGAATATGAAAGCAAATCTTAAAGAAAGATGGAAGAAAAAGAGGGAAAATCTGGACAAATTGAGCTAGTATAATAGTACAATCAAATCAAATTACAAAACCAGAAATAAAAATAAAATCCAGATGGTTGGATGAACCCCATGGCTACATGTTCCAATGAACAGACTAAAGCATTTTCTGTCCCTTTCCTAAGGACCATGTCTTTTTTTCTTGCTTTCTGGATATGAAAGAGAGGAAGAGAGAAACTTAGTCTTCATAGACTGTTACCAGTTCATCTTATTTATTTATAAAATTTATCTGATTTCTAGAAACCAGCATGACTCCAGGCAATTTACAGAGTTTAAATATTAAAAGCAGACCGCATAACTGAAAAAAAATTAAACCGGTGACTAACAATATGAAGCTAAAAGTTATAAAATTGTAAAGCATTGCTTTACAACAATTGATCCTCAAAGGGACAACAGAAAAATCATGTTTTCACCTGTAAAGGAATTTAGAAACCAACCTTGGGGAAGTACAAAAGAGCTGTAATGGGAGAAAAGAACACATTGTTAAAGAGAGACTTGGACAAGAGATTACACAATCCAAACACATATGCTACCTTCTGGACCAATTGAAGTTTCTAGATGGTCCAATGAGAGAAGAGATGAACAGTACCATCTAGCAGGAAAAACATGAATGACAATCCTGTTCTAGGTATTAGAGCACCAGCCCAAAGTGTGCAATAGCCCTCTTGGTCCCAGCTCACCCTGTTCCTAAGTGGGAGCTATGAGCCCAGGGCAATCCAACACAGCAAGTTTCCAGGGCACCCCAATCCCATAAAGAGTCAATTTATACAAGTTGTGCATATGTCATTTCCATTCTATATGCATATCTTCCAGAGATCTCTGTAACTACAGTCTTACCACTTCCTCAATAAACTCTTCCCAAAAAGGAATAATAGCAATAATTCTCCATTTTTGTTAGATCTAGAATGGTTCAACCTGCGACAGATTGCTTAGCCATATAATAGTTTACACCAATTAGCCCTCCTGGCTCATACTTCTCCCAAGAATGTGCAACATTTTAAACAGTGTAACTAGTCAACATTCTGCAAATGGAATGGTAGAGAGGTAGTTACACTTTGCTACCTTTATTGCCACAAGTAGACTTGAATATGGGCTCTTATTTAGGTCCAGTCACAGTCACTTCTTGTTTTCCACCAGTTCCATTCCAGGGTTCTCTTTACTGCTTCATTTCATGGAGTTCCTGAGAAAACCAAAAAGTGGTATGGGATCAGCAGATAGGGAGAGACCACCCAGGGGCCTATCCTTCAAGCTGTACACACAGATTGCTTGGATCCTGCAACTCATAATATACAACATGTTACAGCTTGCACCCTCTTGAAAGCTACGGTTAATTAGGCATCTCTGTACTTGATAACTTATACTCAGGAAGAATCATTACCTACTATTACAGTCCCACAAATAAGCCCCAGCGGGGCTTTTTATCAGGTTCGCCTGATCCGCCAGTTGCGTCCCTTTCTGGATCGGGACTCCCTGCACACGGTCACTCATGCCCTTGTCACTTCCCGACTGGACTACTGCAATGCTCTCTACATGGGGCTCCCCTTGAATAGCATCTGGAGGCTCCAGCTGGTCCAAAATGCGGCCGCGCGGGTGATTATGGGAGCGGCGGGGCAGGTAAATGAGTTGCAGTTATATCAATATATATATATATATATATGAGAATGGCATCCAGTCAACTAGTATTATTGGGGTTCCTATTAAATACTAACCATTGGATTGCCATTGTGCATTGCAAAAACCGAAAGCAGGGCAAGCAAACAGTTCAACATTTCCATCTACTGTATAACCAAATCAATGATTCTCCTTCCAGGAATGTTTCCCTTAGAGCTCATCAGTTGAGGTAACAGATTTGAGAAGGGTTGGTACTGGCAGTTCTTAAACCCAGGATTATTCATTACATTATACAGTATTCCGTCTTGTTTTACAAATGATGAGCAATGCATACAAGGAGACTACTGTATTGATCAATATCCTAATCTATGGTTTTTAGATTATTTTTGTAACGACTGTACATAAGAACAGTGTAATAAATTTCTAACAATAATTTTATTTTTTGTTATTTTTATTTTGCAGACAAATGGCAAAAGTTTTTGACTTGGATTAACAATATGTAAATTAATATTCATTTAGATTTTCTATCTATCTATCTATCTATCTATCTATCTATCTATCTATCTATCCATCCATCCATCCATCCATCCATCCATCCATCCATCCACTCACTGAGAGACTAAGAGTTGACCTATATTGATGGCACATCCTTTTTTTTCTCTCTGCAGGCCTATACAAACACACATTCACACAACAGTTGTTTTCATTGGAGTGGGATAGAAATGCAATGAAACAATGATTTGTTGAGAAATGTTTCTTAAAATATGTGTGATTTGCTTGCCAATTTCTACTGAGCTTAAAAGCAGCCATCATGGTAACCGACTGTTTCTCTTTTTCTTGTGTTGTATGCTACCATATAGGGACTCAGCCATTAATATGTATATGAATTTTGAATTATTGCCTATTGAAGAAATAGATTCAATATTGGCATATGTGTCGTTGAAGAATGTGTGATTTGCTTATGTAAGAATAGAACCCACTGAAATCATTCATGGTTACTACTGACATGTATAGTTTGGCACTGCCAAGGCTTCTTAATCATTTATTAATTTGTAGTTTAGAGTTGGGATCCAATTCAGTCATTTTATGCTGTGCACATAATCCACGCATTCATATCAGAGGTGTTTGTGTGCTTAAAATCCCATTTATCTACTCTTTTTAGTCCAAGCAATTTTTTCAGATTGCTTGAAATAGTACTGTAAAAGCCTGAAATCTCATTCATGTAATAACATATCCAGTATCCTTAAACCAAAGGGAAGTAAGTAGTGCCTGCCTAATGTCTTGGCCCAATTTCCAACAGTCCTAGCAAATGTGGCCGATGTCCATAAACTCTGAAACATTGGCTAAACACAAGGAGGTGGCATAATCCCCATCTCTGTACTTTGATCTTTCTCTGGATCCTGTTTATGCCAAGCATGGACTCTAAGCAATAATCTCCTGTTGAAATGCACTGATCCTTATAATTCAAAAATGTGAGGAAAAGGAGGAGCCCCAGCACTTTCTTCTGGGATAAGATTAATAGGTCACTTTTCAAAGCCATACTGATTTCAGTCATTTTGAATATTTCAGCATTATTTAAACATCCTTAGTTTCGAATTTTATTGTGATTTAGGCATTTATTACTGAATACATCCAGGAGTAAGTTTATTTTGGCCTAATATAATATTGTAAATCAGCTGATATTTTCAGCCCCCTTAAGAAGATTTGGAGGATCCTGAGAATCCCTTGAGAAGATTTATAAGATTACTTATACAAAGAAGATTGGAAATATTTGTTAAAGGAATTGTGGGGGGGAGTAATAGTGCAACTTTTAAGTATCGAGCATTCGTTTTTTACGTGAGTCACATAATACAGTCACCACAAGAGGGGGCCTTATGAATACAATAGGTTGCTAATAGTGTAAAAAAGAAATTAATGAAAATCTTTTTTCTTTTATTGAACAGGGCTTTTTTTCTGTCTTACATTGTGAAAGTGAAAAAAGCAAACATAAATCCTTTTGCTGCAAATTGCACGAGAAGAGAAGAAGAGGAGAGAATTTTTTTTTTTAAGTATGTAAAAAACTTATTTATAGAGTCTGACCTGTAATCTATCTTGGTCATATTGTTCAAATTACCATAAGCAACAGAGCTTCATGGAGTCAGAGATTGGAATCGTTCTTAGTTCTATCTGGGGGATGCCAGAGATTAAACCTAGAACATTTCACATGCAAATTAGATGTATACCGCACTGAATTATGGTCCTTCTGTATTGACTGCAAAACAAAGGTGTACATCACTATAACAAAAAGCCAGGCTCTAAAGACAAGACATGATGACACTGATTTCACTTGGCCATCTCTATTACCTCTGGAACCAGCAGCTTGAAAGAAAGCTATCTTAAGCAATTCTACTGTTTTGATTTCAGATAAGCATAACATTATTTTTAACCAGCATGACAACTGGAAAATGATTCAGTATACTCTTCAGGCCTTAGATCCTCCAAGTAAACTTTACTTCAAGAATTTTAGTCAATTAATATTCTGGAGTCTTGTGTATAAAATATTTTTAAAATAAACACAATTGGAGAGTTTAAATTCTGTTCTCATAGGTTTTGTATAGGAAATACTAGTTACAATGTAGTTTTAAATAAATAGAGCTGTCAGATCTGATTGCAAAAGTCTGGATAACTGTGATCTGCCATTAAATTGTCATCTAATTTTTCTACATGTCTTAGTACTAATTTAGTTTCTAACAAGCCACAAGACTATGGAAACTAATATAACCTGGAAGTAGAGAGGTAATATACGATACATGAGATAGGAACAAAGAGTTTGCAATCCAGATATATTATTCCTAAGGAAGAAAAGTTTATTATTATTTATTTATTAGATTTATATCTCATTTTTTTCCAGAAGCTCAAGTAAACATGTGTAATACTACCTTTTCCTGCTTCAGTGGTTAGATGGCCTAGACTTTGGTATTTGAACATTGATCTTTTTAATATTTATATTTTATTGTGTTTTACTAATCTGAAGACAAATTGTTAATATATATTGCTAATCCATGTATAATATACCATGTGCTATATAAATAAATAAATAAACTGCCTTTTCCAGCAATTCCCTGTGAGGGTTAGGCAAAGTGACAGGGCAGCTATAGGTTGGGTTGAGTGACAGATAGTTTCTCATAGCTGAAGGTAATGTTGAATGTTTGCCTCTTAGATCTGAATCAAACACCTTAACCACTATGGCACACTTTAGTTTTCATATAATTTATTTCTGCAAAATAAGTATAGCTAAAGTTAATTCAAAGTTCAAATACAATACAATACAGCTTGCAGAAAATTGGGAACAGCAATATGTGAAGAATACATTTGAAATAAGCAACCTGAAATGCAAACATTTCTTTTCCAAATGTAGCAAAATAGAAATTTATAGGAACATGTGGAAAGTGTATGCCACACAGAGTAGCTTGTTGTGAGATGGGTGGCTATATAAATGTGATGAATGAATGAATGAATGAATGAATGAATGAATGAATGAATGAATGAATCTTATTATAAAACAAAATCTGATTATATGAGTATAAAATGGAGAAATACCTGGTTTGCTCACCGTGCCTGTCAAACATACTGGAATTGTACTTGACCACAAACCACATCTGAATCAGAAACATGGCGGGGCTGAAAAGAAGGTAAATTCAATATTAGACTACTACAATAATCAGTATTCCGATCATAGGAAGTAAATTATTCCATGCCATTCTTCATGGATCAGACATCAATTTGAGTGTTGCATGCAGTTAGATAAACTGGAACAGGTTCAAAAAGAATGGAATTAGAAACAAAGTCCAATGAACAGCAAATTGAAGGAGATGGTTATGTTTAACCTTAAGAAAAGAACCAAAAGATTACGGGGAGAGAGGGAATGGAGGGAGAGATCCAAAGGAATGCCACCTACACCTGTCCTTTCTTGCCCCTGAGCACAAGAAATAGAAGAATAATGAATTATAGTTTCAGGAAAGCAGATTCTGATTAAATTATAGAAAAATTCCTCTTCCGAGTATGACAGCTGAGAACCACTCTATGCAATAGTTTCTTGCTTCTTGTGATGCCTAGAAAACCACCATGCAGTTAATCTTTGTTTAGGTCCAATCTGTATTCTTGTACAATTCTTCTGCTTTGTTTTCTTCCGCCAGAGCCTCTGGCCCTGACTTAGATGCCTAAATGTTACAGATCAAGTGTTAGCAGAAGCCTTGTATCAAAGGTCGCCAGAATCTAAGTTAAGGTTCACAGAGATGGCTGCCTAGTTTCATTAGAGTACATCCAGTGAAGAAGAGATCACCATTTCTCTAAGTAATTTGTCTTATACTGGTCAAACTGTCAAATTGGTCTTATATTGTTAGGAATGTCTTTCTATCCAGTAGGTTACGGATTTCATTGTGCTTTATGGTTTATATCCAAGTAACTCTGCAGACCCAGATTAAGTAAAGTTCCAACAACTGCTTCCAGAAAGATCCACTGGCCCAGTTTGAGTTCTAGTGCTCTTGACAAGTTAATCTTTTTCAAAACGCTCTTTTTCTCCCTTTCTCAACTGTAATGCCGACGATATAGATGCGCTCCTTTAAGGCATAGTGAAAATTCAGCAATAACTTGAGTATTGCATTATAAAACAGGTAAAAAAGGGATTGTATTCAGGTGAAATACAAACACTTGTACATCTCTCCAAAATTCCTTTACATCAGGTTGCTAGTCATCTAATTGTTGTTGGTTGGTGTGTGTGTGTGTTTTTTAAGCCACATTGCTCTCTCTATCATGCTGGCTTTTCACATGAACTTTAAAGAGCTGCTTCTATGAAGCAAATTAATCATGTCTAAATTAAAATAAAGTGTGAACACATAATGGTAAATGTGCAAATTCGCTGTTTTCACCCTGTCTCTTCCAGTGCCTTCCACGATGGGGCTCAGATGTGTGTGCTGTGTATATACCTGTCAGATGAGCTGAATCGAGCTTGCTCTTTACTGCCAAGAAAGAATTAAGTACAAAATCTTCTGTAGGAAGCAATTGTGAAGTGTGGAAGTTTCTAGTCAGGCAAATAAATTGGATTTAAGTATATTACAGTCATAATCTTTTTCAGCCTCTCTCCAGACAGCCTTTGTACATGGAGAAATGAGAATGTATTCGCAGACAAATCTTGACCTGAGGGAGAAGGCTGAGGGAATCTGGATTTTCAATAACATAAGACAATAAAGCCCAGACTTCTAACGTGCTGCAATATGGTAAAAGTATAAAGAGCTTAGCAACTAATAAAAGGAAAGGGTCTTCCAACTCATATTTGAAGATCTAGACCCCAAAAGGACACTCCATAAAGATCGTAATGGGTTAGTCAGTATCTATCAGAGAGTATGTACTGTGTTGACCAATTGTCTGACAGTTGTCTTCTGTAGGGTCAGGATATTAATAAGTCTCAAGTTGATTTCCTTTGGGGATTTGGACTCATAATTGTACATCCGCTTATTGTGACAATGCAGCATGCTACATATTTATTTAACATGATTCCTGCAGGGGTTAAAAGAAGACAGAAATAGAGAAATGCTATTGCCTTACTGATTGTATGCACCCATTGCAAATTTTATCTTCCTCTGTGGTACTGAAAATCAAATCTTATTATAATGTATGGGAGGAGAGAGGGTCTTAGGGGCAGAGAAGAAACCCAAATGAGTTTTTCACTCTGGTCCGAACAGCGGCATCTTCCATTCAGTAATAGAGGGATTATAGAGAGATTCAATTATCACAACAAGTTTTGATCTCTTATTAATAAAAGTTGTTCTGGAAGGTATCCACTAGCTAAATAATATTTTGACAGTTAATGCTAGTGTAAAGCAAGTGTCGCTCAGGCAGTAGAAACAAGGGGAAACAGATGCATAAGAGATCATCTTCTGATTTAGTCAGAGCAAATGAAGCCTGTTTAACAATCATCCTATAGAGCTGCTTTCTTCAGCTCTCTGTCGACATGCCCTTTATAAAAAGGCAAATATTTAAAGATGACCCACATATAAAATAAAGCTGGGGTTCCCAGTTGCAATCTCAAGACAAGCAGTGGGTTAAGCATTATGTGCATTATGTGGATAGTATTTTATTCACTGAATAGTTTTAATATATTCAGCAGCCTTCTAGATAGGCTAGGAAGCTGCCTGAAATGAAAGCAAACCAAATTTCCATATCGCCCAATACTGTGTATTTCATCCATAAGTAGCTGTCTAGGGCAGCAGTCCCCACCTGTTGCACAATGCCTTGTGGCTTGGCAGGCCGGCTGGAGCAAGAGAGGGGAAACAGGCTGTGTGAATGGCATCTCAGCACGCCCATGTGCAGATGCAGTTCAACTCGCACGAGCGGCGATCTGGCATGCACGTGCATGTGCACACAGCGCAACATGTGCAAATTGAGCTGTGTATGCATGTGCACGCATGTCATTCTACCGCTTGCACTAGTCGAGCTGCACACACATGCGTGCTTGCCCACCTTTCAGGCGGCCTGGTTGCAAATTGGTCATGACCCAGTAGTGAACTGTGGCCCAGAGGTCGGGGACCTTGTCTCAATGAAAGTCGTTCAATCAATTGTTACCTGTTCATTTTCATTTCTTTCCAAATAGGGATAATTGGGGAAATTGCACAAAAGATCTTCAAGATGCCAAGCAGGTAGCCTGATAACACAGCATCTTCTGAAAAGTTCCACTAGGCACTTTCCCACTCAGCTGATTTGGTCAATTTGGGCCTGTCCTGTAATTAAGAATGAGTGCCCATTACCAAACAAATAGTATTATCAACAAGATAGGCCTTGAAAAAGCAATACTACTTTCTCAATAACAGAATGGATCTTCTGAGCAAAACACAAGCACAAAAAGCAGGATGACAGCAGTGTTCTGGGGAGAATTCTTACATTTTGGCACTGACCTGCCAAATGTAGAGTTTCCAACTCTACATATGGGATGAACATCTGCTGGAAAAACTAAAGTCAAAACCACATCCTGCACATAGTTAGCCTTTGAATGAATTGGATTCAAGATGAATTATTATTAGACTATATCGAATACTGAATTAGATGATACTCTTATGTCGTTAATATATGCAGTCATTACAACTATGTACAGATTGTAGGGTGCTGCATATTGTACCCTCTCATGAAAGCCTGAAACTATTCAATAGACTCATGAAGTATCAGAAATTCAATCTGCAATGCTCAAGACATAATGTGCTAGTATTTAACACATAATGAAAACTCGGAGAAAAACAGGTTTTCTTATTAACATTACAGTAAAGATTTAGAATGAAATCTGATGTGAATGAGCCCATGGATGATCATAAAATTATCATAGGAATTTTATGATTGGTTTGAATGAACTTTGTGTTATAATCAAAGACATATTGTTTCACTATCCTGAACTGAATGGGGACTTTCAAAGAAAATGCAAGTTGAGTATTGTATCTTTGGGATAAGAAAATATTGGCTACATGAGGAACTCTTCAAAATATTTGTTTTACTTTAAACAGTTTAGGAACCTTTTGCAAAACACCGAGTGGGTGCATCTCCAAGCTTCTTCCAGATTTCAGATAACTCACAGCGTTTTCTTTCCATTCACCCCATCCCTCACTTAAGTTTATTAGCACCCTAAATTTAAGTGGATGGAAAATATGATACCTTTCTCAATGTCTCATTGAAATACATAAAAAAGATTGCCAATTATTTCTCAAACATTCACTCAGCCTTCTTCAATCTGATGCCTCCAGATGTGTTGGATTTCAACTCTCAATGTTTCTAGACAGCATGGCCTTGCAACAGCTCAGTAGGAGGTAAATAAAGTACTAATTAGCCAACACCAGCATCCATAACTATATGTTGCACACTTTTGAACTGGTTTGGCAATGAATTAAAGCAGAAATAAGCCTAACGTGAAATGTCAACGAGAACAGAATTACTAGGAAGATGTAGCTGCAGGTAAAAAAGAATAAAAGAATATGCTGAGCAAGGTATTAAAATACAGTGTTGAGATATAGTAAGTAATTTATACATTAATTCTTAACTAAGTAAGCTTCTTAAAACACAACTTCCTTTGTTATTGCAACCCAGGGGTTTGCAGTAAAGTTGGGGAAATTAGCAAAACTGGTGCAAACTGGTCGGAGTTTATCATAAACTGCAAAGAAACAAAATGGTGCTATAAATTAGAGTTTGTAATTAACTGAAGGCAGAACACAGGAAAGAGAATGTATATAAGTAAATAATGGTAAAGATGGTAATAGTAAAGAGATCACAGAAGGAACTAAAGAGGTTCTCACTAGATTTCAAAGATGCTGCAAGGAAATCTCAATTGGAGCCTTCCAATGGGAGAGGGAGGTCAGCCTAGAGAGTGAGAGGAAGAAGTAAAACTTGGTTTGAGGGAAGCAGATAGGATCTATCTAGATTGTCTTTTGCCACATGCAGTTTGGGTCATTGTAACACTAACCACTGCAAAGAGTGTGGGCAGTAATGACTACCTGGATTGCTCAAATCTCCCCGCTTGAGAGGAAACTGCCAGCAGCCATGAAGAAGGCAGTGATATATTTCCTTCTGAAGAAGCCATGTCTGGACCTAGAGTCCTTGATAACTATCTGCCAGTTTCCAAACTTCTTTGTTTGGGAAACGTTGTTTAAACAGGCGGATCACTATGCAGCACATAGAAAAAATGGATTATCTGCACTCTTTCAGCCTGGCATTCGGTCCTGATATGAGGCTAAGATAATCTGTCCAGTTTAAGGTAAAGTGTATCATTTAAAGCCTTCTGGTGAAGATTTGTATAAGCCAGAGGAGGTTTTCAGTTATTCAGCTACAACTTCCAGCATCCCTAATAATTTCACAATACATATACAATAATTTCACATACAACATTTGAAGTGCAGCAAATGCCCCATTACTGCCATAAACTATAACTTTTTTAAAAAATACACTCACACATAAAATACAAGATTCTGTTCAGGGCTCCTTAAAGTGAAGTTGGCAAGATAAAAACTGAAAACAGCCTGCCTACTGGGGGAAGAAGATGATAGCAGATCTGAAATCTAGTATGGGAAAGGAAATGAGGAAGAGGTATTGTATATTAGTGTTGATTATACAGTGATTATATGAGTGTTTATTACTTAATTAATCTTTCCCAATTGTTCTACTAGTTATGGAGAAGGAAGAATAAAAATGACAGTTTTGCTGATCTCTTCTGTTTGCGATCATATAGAAAGAAAACTATATGCCCAAGGTCTTATAACACATTTAGCCCAGTTCTAGCAACTACATTTGTAACCTGCTACATGAGGTTAGTGCTAACCTTAGTTAGTCTTCCTGTGATTTAACATATTATGCAAATTCAGCTTATTTAGTAACTTATGGTTTAATGAATTATGCAAACCGTCCAAATGAATTCCTTAACTAGATTGCATGGAATGAATACAGTCAATAAACAGTTATTAAAAGAAGACATTACTATTTTAAAAAAATCACATTACAATGTATGCCTGTAACATACACACATGGTATATTTCCACCCTAAGAATAATTTGCCTTTCAAGATTATTAATACAGTATGGAGAGTTTCATCTTACTTAAAATCTGTAAATCCTTTCAAAAGAGAAAAGCTATACTACATGTATCTGTATCCATCTAATTATGAATTAGGATTATAATTATCAGGAATCTATCCAGAATCTCTTTGGATAGAGGTGGGAATAAATGGAATGAGGAAATAAATAAATGATTAAATGCCTCAAATTAATTTTTAAAATATTTTCCCTAACAACACCACTCCTATCATTACAATGCAATATTTTAATTGATATGTATCTTTGGAACTATTAACTAGTTGTATAATTAGTAATCATTAGTAAAATTAGTAAAAAAAAATAGTACAAAAGTAAAATTTAACTAGTTGAAAAAGTATTCACTCCATTTCTGATTTTCTGAATTCCTGCATATCTCTGCAAGGTAACGTTAAGCATGAGCTTTATGTACTGATGGATAAAGGAAATCTAAATAAACAAAGAAGATACCACTTTTTTCCATTAGTTCATAAATAAAGTCATTCAAAATTAATGTGCCAATGAAAAAAGGAGTTTTTCCTAATTCAGTCAATTTAGTTAACTAGGGAAAGTTATGAGTATTTCACTATATGGTCAGGGCTGAATTGGATCAACTTTACACAATATAAATCTCACAAACTTTGGCTCCCCTCAACAAGTAAAGATCCTACCAACAAATCTGAAATGTCCTTCAGGTTCTATTCAAATAACAAGACCCTACAAAAAGCCATAAATGCATATCAGTCTGAAAAACATTACAGAATCATTTTGAACATTTCAGGTTGCACGAGTGCTGCTATTTCATGAGAAAAGAAACACCACTTTCCATAATAACATGCCTGCTGTCAAGCTTAGAGGTGATAATGACAAGGTTTGGAAATGTTTTGCTGCAAGACTTGAATAACTTGCCACCATGAGAGAAAATATGAATTCATATGAGACAATTCTAGAGAAGAGTAGCAGGCCCTCTCGCCATCGTTCTAAGGTGTAACACAAGTGACTCATGCAATAATACAGTGATCCTAAATTTATAAGAAAGAAAAGAAAAGAATCTACAAAAGAATTGATGAAGGCGACCAATTTCAATATGTTCAAATTTAAGTCCCCTAGAAATACTTAAGCCAGACCTGAAATGAGCAGTTCCTTTTATAAAATTTTCAACAGTTTCTGAGTTGGACATGAAGGATGTCTACACTATGATGTGAGTCATCTTCCACTTGCAAGAAGCATATGGCTATAATCATTGTAGCCAAAAATGGCATGGAGAAGCTATTGGGTTATCCACCCTGAGGATTTTTTTCTTATCACAATAATGGGCAGATTCGGCTTCACTATTAATAAGGTACGTAAGCTCTCCAACTATTTACCATGCTTCTAGAAGTACTGCATAATTTTTCTAATAACGTTCACTACTTCTTTCTCCCCAAATGTTTTTTTTTAAAGTTATCAGCAGTATTATAGCCAGTGAATAGAATTTGCCAATCAAGAGATGAGAGTTCATTGTTTATGAGATCGTAGTTGGCTTTTTTAAAGTTACCAGCAGTATTGCAGCCAGTGAATACTTCGCTACTTGCCCAGTCTTGGCTTCCCTTCCACTACTTCCCTTCCCTTCCATTTGGTACTCATAGGAGCTGGTCCTGCAGCTTATATAAGAAAGACAAAATACAAAAGCATAATGTAAAGCAGAAGTGAAAGAGAGCATTGGAGGTACTTCCAGACTGGCTCAAGAGCTGGTCTTTCCCACAAGGATTTTGATTTACATGTTATCCAAAACTGTGTGTGTGTGTGTGTGTGTGTGTGTGTGTGTGTGTGTGTTGGTATGTATTGCACAACCTTAGAAGATCCTATTACTACACTGGTTGGTTCTGCAGCCTTGTATTTTTCTTTATGTCAATATGTCAATAAAATCTTCCTTTTCCCCAAAAAATGTTATGCGTGGACTTTCCTGTTAAGGGTCTGTAGCTCCTTCAGGGACTGCTTTCTGCCCCCAAATGTGAAATCTCATTCAACAAGTTTGTTTCCTGAACTGATGTGATCTAACACATAATGTCAAACAGTATAAAGTAGAAAACAAACATGCTACCATTTGACAGCATACTCCAGCTTTTGTACAACTCTGGGTATTTTTCATAGGACAATAGTCGCTATGCTTATGGAATGAAATTTGTATGTTTTTTTTCCCTTAAACTTTCTGCGGTTTGTTAGTATCTGTTATTCTTCCTGTACTTCAGAATATATACATCTGGAAGCCAACAGCCACGTTTAGCTTTACCAAATATCAGAAAGGTCAGCATAAAACTCAAATTTATTTTGTCATTTTTTTGATTAATTGGTTAATTAAATATAGCATGCCTCTTTTCTCACTTATAAATTTAGAATTAGAATTTTGAAAGTAGTACATTGGTTCTGGAATTGAAGGTTGTATACTACTTCTATATTTGATTGTGGGATGAAGGTACACCAAGTACAGAGAATTTGTGCTGACCAATGTCTGATAAATAGAGGCCCTTGCTAGACTCTGTAAAACTGTTCTACTGTGATGTTAACAGATGGCAATTTTACAGATAAATGGGCAGTTGCTTCAACAGTTCCACTATTGAAAATCAATGATCTATATAATTCGTATTGTACATTTAGTCAGGTATTTCCTTTGTATATTCAGTAGGCAAAGTGTAATGCTACATAACTATTAAATGGGCAGAACCAATTGCATTACTAAGTTTAAAAACAATGATCACCATCTCATATACAGACAGATAGATAGACAGACAGGAGACACACACACAGAGAGATATTTGTTTGGCTGATACCAGGTTCTCTCTCTTTCTCTCTCTTTCCCCGTTCCTCCCCCCCTCTCTCCACCTACTATCAAATTCCTATATTCAGCCCTTTGGGTGCCTAAATACCCTGCCCCTAAAATGCAATCTGTTTACAGGAACACGTTTCTACATGCACAGCTGCTATACCGAGTAATGTAAGGTCATAGCACGAATTGCATCTGGTGAGAAGGATATGAATGCCTTACCTTGCCAGATTTTAAACTCTGTTCTTAGTAAATCCAGGAGATTATCTTTGACAAGAAGACAAGTAATAGCAGACAAGCTGCCTTCCCTTTTTACAGATTTTCTTCCAGTTTTTCACAGTCACAAAGGAACATAGACTGTACCGCAGACCACAGATTTGCTGAAGGAAATAACCCAGCTTGGCCTGACCACAGACTGTGCCTTAATTTTTCCTGTAAAAACAACAACAAAAAGTATCTTTGGAAGAGAAATCTATTTAAATGAATTTTCTGGAAGATAAAACTATTGCAAAGCTTTTTTTGAGAAACTCACATTTCAGACTCTGAATTAGTGGTATGTATATGTGCTCTTCTGTTTATCTTATTCTCATATGTTTATATGAACATATATGAGACATTTTAGAACATATGAACACATGAACATATATGAATATTTTAGATGCTTCAATTATTATATACAAATTTCCACTTTGCACTTTTTTTCTGTCAAGCCATTTCCTTCAAAGTTATAATTCTTGGCCATTGCATGAAGATTTTCTATTGTTGTCTTTTGAGAACAACATTTTCAAGGGAGTCATCATAAGCAAGTCGATGTCATTGGTGATTGAAGCCAGAGTTGTAGCTAAAAATCAGCATAGTCATTGAATTTTTTCTTTCTGATCTTTTTGTCTCTTTCCCTCTCATATTTTTACTAACAGAGGCACATAAAGAATAGGTTGACAGTTTGGTACAAGAACTTTGATAATAAATAGATGGGCCTGTTAGATTGGTAGCTCCTATGTTAGGGCTGTGAAAAAGAACCCAAAAATTTAAATTAGGCAAACCTTTCTGGAAATCACAGATAACCCCAACAGATTTCAAATCACAACCATCTCCAGTTGCACTCAAAGAAAAATGCAGAGATGTTTCCATTGAGTCTCCCTCATTTACAAAGGCTCAACAAATAGAGAAACATTCAGCATGCTTATTATTGATGAGAGGACATGGACATTACATGACTGATGCTTTATTTAATTAAGTGTGCACAGTAACAATAAATATAGTAAGTTAATTTCTGGTTCAATGGAATTGCTGACTGAGAACATGTTTGTGTATATGTTTGAGTGTTGTGTGAGTAGATGTTTTGGTGGGGGATTTTTTTTTGTAATTATTTAAATGGACTGCAAGCAAAGATAATGAATGCATGTTATTTTACAACGTATTGATACTTTAGTAATTAACAGAGCAAAAATCAATACAAAAGTGTGCCAACATAATTAAGAATATGCCAAAGTCACTCTCCAACTGCATTTACATTTCTGTCAATGTTTGCAAGTGCTAGGAGCACTTACTTGCAATGCAAATGCTTATGAAATGCCTCTCTGTAACAACAAAATATAAAGTACACAGATGCCTTTACCCACATAAACAGTGTAGATCTTTAACAATAAATACATAAGATTCCGAAAGACTTTTGTGATTTCTGGTGGGAATACATTAAACCCATGCAGGTTCTTCCCTGGTGTATTGTACTTCTGTTTCAGTCTCTGTTTACTGCTACTTTCACTCATCATGTGATAGACAGGCTGCCATTTCATTCTCTTGAAATAAAGGTGCAAACATCAGTAAAAGCTGCCTTAATGGTGGCTGAACACTCCAGGGACAAGCTTTCTAAACAGTTGAGGAGCTATTCCAAATTTTAAGTAGACTTAGATTTGTGTGTAGTTGTTGTTGGCTAAAAAAAACCCCCCAACCTTTAACCCTCAAGTATGAATGTAAAAGTAAATCTATGACTACCTCTAGCAATTTTATTCTATTACGCTGCTTCCCAATTGGATTACAAGGAACTTGGTAACTCTATCTGGAGCTCTTTTTTAAAGCCATTTCGGATGGAGAGAGATGGTGGACTGTTTAGATGTCAGCATAATGAAAATTTTGAAGTTGAAATTGTATATACTATTAGTGTTATAATATGATATGCAGACTGAATGAAGAAGTCTTGAAAGGCCTTTGGAATCATTGCAAAAGAATATATATATATTCTTTTGCAATGATTCCAAAGGCCTTTTAAATTCAAATGTAAAATTATATATATAATTACACACACATCTAATATAATAAAATATAATAAATATAATATAACACAACACAACACAATAGAATAGATAGAAATACCACATACCTCCAAAATCATTCATAGGAAGCTTTTGTACCATGTCTGTCCTTTTGTACTGACAAAATGTCCGATAAACTGCCTTTTTTTCCCCATGTCTTTCTCATCTCCTCCTGGTGAAGATTTGTGCTCCAGCCATTTATTTAGTTTGCATATTTACTTATTTCACTTGCATGCTGCCACTTTTGCCCAGACTCTTTGTTCAATGGCAGCAATAAAAATCATACAGTAAGAAAATTAAAAGGTCCATGATAAACACAAACATAGCACTCGCTCTGAGAGCTTTCCAGGACAGCTTTGAAAAGGTGATCCATAAAGAGCCCAATCAAATTTCCAGAAGTAAGGTGTCCCATATTTTCAGTGCCATGACATAAACATGCATCCTGGCATTCACACTTCACAAAAATAGATACCCCCCAATTCAGGTTGGTTAACTCTGGTTAGAACAGGCAGTCCTGTAGGGACCTCACCATCAAGCCATTGGACATCTTTGTAAGTCAAAACTAGCATTGTGAATTGCATTGGAAACCTACTACCAGTAGCAGCAAATGCAGGGTCTAGAGTGTAGCTGTAATAAGCAAAAGGTGACAGGCACCAGTCAGGAAATGGACCATTCCAATGCTTTATTTTGAACCACCTACAGATGCCAGGTGGTTTTCAAAGATCATAGAATATATTGCAGGTACTCAACTGAAGGATAATAATGGTATGAGTTATGTTAGACAATATAATGGTTGGTTCGGGAAACAATTCTGCAACCCTCCATTACAGCTGCTAAACAAAGGATTGTAACCTTAAACCTAGCCTTAAGTCTAATAGCTATATTATCCACCGAGGTGAATCATATATAATGACTTTTCTATATTGCCAAGAAATGGGCAATGAGTCATTTGTTTGCTATGAACAATCACCTGTTTTTAAAAAATCCTTTTTCTCATTATTTTCTTGGGATAGCATTTCTGAGTAATTTGAGGATGTGGTGGTTTGCTTTTGGTTTTTCTTGACACACTTCTCTTCATCTCCACAACCTCCCTGGCAGCCCACACATCCTAAGTCGAGAAAACTCTCTGAAATGTAACTCCTTTTCATGTCCTCCCTTGGGATTTAAAGATGTCCAACAAGCCAGGGAAGCTACTGTCTAATGGAGAGTTTTTACAATGAAGGGTTGGACACTTCTACATTCTCTTTAGCCACCTCAAAACTAGGATGAGTGTAAAAATCCCAGATTACACTAATGGCGTTTTTCTTCTCTTCCGAAAAAAATGTAAATAATTTTTGTGTAATGACAAATTAAATAAAATCAGTAGCATTGAATGAAAACGATTCAAAATTGTAGAATTAATGTTTATTTTTTTAATTATAAAATTCACTGGCTGTCCATCTTACCATAGAGTAACTCTGAGCAGTTTACAGTTACATATACAGTTAAAACATAAAAAGTTACAATCAGACATCAAAACCAAGTATACATGGGGGAGCGGGGACAGATTGGGGAAAGGTGGGATCTATTATTACTCAATCAACTACCTTCATTGTGCTGTTCCCCAACTGGGGCCCCAGGCCAACTGACAGAGTCACGTCTTTAGGCCTTTGTGAAAAGATAAAAGGATTGGGACCAACCTCACATTTGGGGGCAAGATGTTCCATAGGGCAGGAGCAACAGCAGAGAAGGCCTCCTCCTGGACTCCGCCAGCTGGAATAATCAGTCTGATAGGACCTGCAGCATTCCTCCTCTACTGGCGCAAGTGGTATGGGCCTATCCAGTGGGATGAGACGGACCCTCAAGTAACCTGGACCCATGCCATGAAGGGCTTTAAAGGTGATCACCAATACCTTGAATTACATCCGGAAGCAGACTGGTAACCAATGCAGCTCACAAAACAGTAGTGTCACATTCTTGGGGGCCCCAAAACTACCCGTGCGCCAGCTGTAGCTTCTGAATGCTCTTCAAAGGTTTAGCACTAGTCAGTGATGCTAGGAGATAGAGTGGATGGATGAAGATAGCACCATGTCATAGGCAGGTTATCTCACTTCTTCATTTGTCTTTGAGAGATATTTGCATCCACCAGTTCTTAATTTCAAATATTCAGATGTACGGTATATCCCAGTTTTTGTCGAAAGCTTTACTGTGTCTGCTCTTTACACTACAGCTAAAAAGAGTTATACTGTGATGATTATGTAGTCGGGTGCCATTTCAGAAAACTTCATTAAAGATAAGTTCGGTTATGATTTAACAGTCCCAGTGGCTTACAGTTAAATTTCAAAGTTCCAGCTGGCCACACTTTAGCTCACTTTAGCAAAGCACGGCACATTGTTAGATTTTTCTGATAAAGTCTGCTCTTTGTGATTCAGCAAACCTCTTCCTCTCCACACAACTGGCATCTTCATTGTTAAGCACCCCAGAGATAAACAAATCAAAATGGAGTGCACTCAGATGAAAAAGGTATTCCCAATCATACATGCAGATTACACATTATTCATGCAGTAAAAAAAACAAACAAACACTGTGAATTACACAAATTTAAGTCTGAGGAGTAAACAGAGCCTTTTTTCAGCTTTTAAAACGATTTGACTATTGTTGTTGGATTATATGGTCCTCCACGCTTCTCATTATATACAACTGTCTCTAGTTTGCAATGATATAAAGTAATCCAATCTACATCCTAAACTTTTTTTTAAAAAAAAAAAATTAAAGTAAGTTCCATTTAAATCAAATATTAACTCCCAAGAATGATTGAGATGCCAGGTGCCTGCCTAGCAAAATTATTTCACATTAATTCTCTCTTAAACATTGAAAGATAAACTGCAAACATGAAAGGTCAAATAACAGATGGGTAAAAAGACATGGACAATTCAGGCTGCTCAGGAGCAAATCTCAAAGAGATCGACATAAGATAAAATGTTCCAATCCTTTACAACATGAGGAGGTTAAAATCAATATAATATCATGGCAACGTGACAATAGTTTTCTGCACTGGTTGTTGTTAGTCTTCATTAACAAACATAATTTTAACATTTTATGCTGCTTTCTCCAACCTAATATTCTCAAGACTTAAACCAAGCAACCAATTTATCAGCCTGCATAGCTGCTTCTTTTAAGAGATGAAGTCCCACACAACTAGAGGATACTCGATCAGGAAAAGTTGTCTTATGCCAACAAAATTTCTAAATATTTTATCAAAAGCAAATCAACAATGAAAAGTGAATTCAATTAGGTGAAAATTAGCAGAGTAAACATTTATTAGGGGCAAGCAGGATATCACAAAATACTAAACGAACTTTGCTGTCCAACTGAAAATCTTTATTTTCTTATAGCTTAGCTTTTTGCTAAACAGCATTGCTATTGTTAGGGAAACGAGCATTTTTTAAATCAACTTTAATCTTTCCAATCTACTCTGTCTTGTTTTTCCCAATAAAAAAACAAAATAAGTTCAGTGGGATATTCATTTATATATTGTTTTGCCATAATTCCTTCCAACCCTATTATTCTATGTTCTAAAGTTGCAAGAAAATAATGAAATATAACTTGCAGGATGGCATTTCTTTATGCCAAGCTACTAATTTAGGAAGGGGAAGAATTCAGCCTTCAAGATTAAGCTGCCTTCAGAAATTTTCTTTTGAGTATCAGAACTGAGCAGGACTCCTTTCTTTCCATTTAAAGAATGATCTCTTACAATCTCACAAATATGTGTGTGTGTATACAGTATCTTTTATATCATCACCATAATTTAATACAGGGGAGGTGTATTTTATTGTTGATATTATTAAACATTTGGGAATCTAAAATCTAGTGGAAGCCATACAAAGAGTAGCAATGAACTGGTAGATTCAGAAGATATAATTTATGCTCCTACCTGTTGTCTTCCTAGTTTATCCTACATCTATTTAAGATGAAGGACCCATTGATTTTGCATGTTATACATTCTATTGTATGTTTAGATGGGGGACAATGCCAAACTTGGTATTTCGAAACCATTTTTAGACATTCTCATAAAATGGTTGTTATAGAGAGTTTTACGATACTCTGAAAATTTGTCATGCCAGTGGTTTAGCTAGTTAACAAAGCACTTAATTTCCAAAAACAAGTTTGATGAAGTGGTTCTCATTAACTCCACGGGATATACTTTACCAATCTGACCGAAATTGTCTTCTTACTGAATCATTGGGCACTTTTTGAAACAAAGCACATGGCTACATCCATCTACTATTAATATCTCAGGATCCTGTAGCACCTACGTGGAGAACAGAGATACCTTGTAAAAAAGAAAAGAGATAATAAATTATGTTGGAATTTACTAAATTGCCTTTTAGCCTGCCAGCTCCAGATGTATTTAAATGGGGAAAAAATGAGCAAAATCCAAGATTATGTTAGCCTGTTTCCCACCTATATCCAAAATCATCATATCTGAATCATAAACAATAATCTTAGATGATTTAAGGACTTGGAACAAGGGAAATTTCTTATTTCAATCTTCAGACTAAAAGGACCCAATAGCTAGCCTGCCTAGGCAGGGCCAATTCAGAATTTGGGAGCTGTTGGGAGACTACATAGCTCTCATGTTCTGATTGTAGTCTTCTCAAGTGCACCTTATTGGTCAAAATGAGAATTAGAATCCTGGACAAGATAGAATTTTGGCATGATACCCAATGAGGTGTTTGCAGTTCAAGCCTCAACAGCTCCAGACATCCTGTTACTGTGATTGTCATATTAGAGATCGTTCACAAGAAGATCTATGTAAGAGTGATTAAAGTGGTGGTACATTCCTATTTTTCTCACTTAAATCGATGTGACATGTTTCTTTGATGTTGACAGTACTTTACTTAGTGTCAACTATCTCCAATTGCATTATGCACCGTCATACCACTATTAATGTTTTTTTCTGTTAAAAAAATAGCCCATGGTTTTTAATCTGACCACTATCAACCAATTTAAGTGAAGGGCATTTTTACACAGATTGTCTAACATTTTCCTTGCTCTCTGTCTGTTTCTTTTAATATCAAGAGTTTTGGCTGCTCATTGTTCTTGAAATGAGTCTAAGAAAAATATATAAATATTAGATGCATACATATATTAGAGGGTATACTATGCTCTATGGAACACTGTATTATGCTTATTGCTGTTCTTGTGATAAATAGACCTACCTTAAGAACAATTTATTCATATATTAATGTGCCTTATGGGAGACATAATCAGCTTCATTAGAGAGCATTATTATGGTAAATCTCTGCAAAAACATCTTGTATAACAAGACAACAAGATCAATAAAAAGACTCATCATCATACATGTGTAATATTGGTAAAAGAGAGTAGATGTTAAAGATGTTACTGAGCTCTTTTCATTTGTGTTCATAAAATACAGTGGTTTGGCTGCATTTTACCTCATAGTGTATCTTCAGTGGAGGCCTCCTTCGCTATACTCCATCAAGTCATCTACTTTAGAGACAGAATAGATTAATTCCTTCAGATATTTTAAATACATCATGTGCTTTGCATTTAACTGAGTATTTTAAATCTTATCTCTAAATGCAAATGACCAATCAGAACTCATTAATATTTTAGGCAATGCCAGATCATATTTACTACTCTAAAACTTCCATGGGAAAGTAATGATGTAAAACCAGGACTAATAAAGTTTTCTGCCTGGAAATCAAATAATCAGTCAAAACACCCAGTTCCCAGCCACTAAGAAGCTCCCAAGCAATAATTTTTCTTCAGCAGGAATGTCATTCATAAACCACGTTATAGATAGAAGTGAAAGTGAATACATTTTCCACAAGTTCTCTGTTTTAAAATCTTATTTATATAGAATGTTATTTTTAAAAAGTTTGATTTGAGAATTTCGCTGTTCATAATAGATGAAATTTGAATTTTTATTGAGTTTTGTTTAAACACTATAACATATTTTTTAAATGCAAACTCTACCAAAAAGTTGCTACAAACTGTTGACTACAAACAGGAAGTTCTACTGTCCTCTGACAAATCCCACATCTGATATCTTGCAGTTTCTGAATGTATAATTTAAAGATGTGAGAAGTAGTGTGTGCATGTGATGGCATTGAACTGGATTCAGCACAGTCTTTTTTGTGAATGGAAATAAATCTTATTCATAGATGAAAGTGGCAATCCAGTTGAGGCCTCTGCTTACAGTAATCGATAGGTATCTGCCTCTTCCCATCCAGATGTGGGAGATTCCTTCAGGTAATCAGTTTCCCCAAATAGAATAAACTGGAAATAAACTGTTGGGATCTGTGGCTCCTTGGAGTCTAAGAGAATGGAGGCAAAATGGAGGCTCTTAGAGCAAAGATGACACAAATCTATGCTGTGTTGCTATTCATTGCAATTTCAATGCACAATACTATAAAAACCTGATGAATGGCTCCTTCAGTTGACATTTCAGCCCTACCCCACATCATCTAGCACAAGACTTCCAAATAACACACCAAACACTCTAATTACTCCATGCACTTCTTTTCTTTCTTTCCCATTGTACTGTTCACCAATTGAGCTTGAGCAGCAAAGGATTACAGGATATTATGTTTCCTGGCACCCTCTGTTGGTCATCTGGATTTGAGCAGCTAACATGTCACTTTCTTCAGCACTACTGCTGATGAAGAAAGTAGAGTTTGGGAAATGGATTTTTAACTGTTGGGATTGATTGTTGTAGGAGATATAAACTACCCCAAAGCATTTCATCAGAAGAAGAAGGGAGGAACCAGAGCTCCTAGAAGCAGCAGTCTCTGGGAAGGGAATCCCTTGCCAGGCAGACTACAGGAGCCAGTCCTTTCAATTCTAATTTCAATTACATAATTGAAGCCCGCCAACTGCAAGGTTTCTTATTTTAATGGGCTGAGTAACCCATAAAAAAAAGAGAGAAGGGTCTGCAGAAGTGGGAATTCCAGTCTCTTTTGTAGCCAAAAAAAGATTGAAGGCAGACAAAGACACCAGGGTTCAAAGTGTATGTTCCCACGAAACCATTTGGAGCCAGAGAATTATCAGCATGGAGCATGTATTTTGAAGCTGCCTCCCTGATGCACACCAATGTGCCCCCCTCCATTGTCAAAATATAGCATTCTAAGGGAGATAATTAGGAGAAAATCACTTTATAGCATAGCAACTTAAGCCACGCTTAAGCCATGTTTCACCTGTGGGACCCTGAGATACAAGACATGCCTTCAGGAAACAGTGAGTTATCCTCATACTAGGCAAGGAGGCTGGGTGGATTTGTCCTGTTGTTTGTGACTGGGTCCCTTTATGGATATTTTCATATCCCCTCTGAATCATTTATCCAAATCCTTGAACTGACTTGTGCCCATTTCTTCTCAGACATCTTTTGACCCAACTATAACCAGTTGATCCCTGAGAACAATATGGCTATAAACAACATTATCAGTAATGCCTATTAATCTTGGGCAATTCTACTGTTTCTTGGCTTCATCTCAGCATTCAGACCTGCTGCACTTGTCTCCAGCACTGAATTAAAGCAATAGCAATCATAAAACAAAATAATGGGTGAATCCGTTTGTTTACCCTCTTATTCATCTGAAAGTTTCCCAAGATTACATATCATTTTTTTTTATTTGATTTATATGCCGCCCTTCTCCAAAGACTCAGGGCGGCTTACAATGCGTTAAACAATAGCCTTAATACTTTTGTATATCTATACAAAGTCAGCTTATTGCTCCCACAATCTGGGTCCTCATTTTACCTACCTTAGAAAGGATGGAAGGCTGAGTCAACCTTGAGCCTGGTGAGATTTGAACTTGCAGTAATTGCAGGCAGTTGATGTTAATAACAGTGCTTTAGTCTGCTGCGCTACCAGGGCAGCAGACTACCAGGGTAGCAGACTTCCATTCTGGAAGTAAAGCATCTTTTAAAGTTTATAAGAGATTTAAAAAAGGAAAGAACATAGAGAAAACTGATTATTCCATGCATGGTTTAAAATATGCAAGATTAGGAAACTTAGACACAAACTCACTATGGCACATTTCAGACTTGATTAACAGAAAGAACTATGTAAGTAAAACCATTGGATGCCACTTAAAAAAAATATCTTGAATCCAGTCTTGATACTGAAAATATATTGTCTCAGCACTCCCAAAATGTGGGGTACAAAATATAAATTGTCCCACTTTATTAATTGTATAGGATCTGAATGTGATCTGCTGTATAATTAGACCAGCATCCAAGAAGCCCAGTATAAAAACATCTTCATGTTAGACTAACTTAGCCTTCTACATTTATATCCTTCCATTTATTTATCTATTCAATTATGCATTCATTATTTCAATTGATATGCTCCCTCCCTCCATCTCAATTTCAATTTCCTATCTCTGGGCAGGTAAAAACATCATAAAACATATAACTCATGTCATCAACCAAAGTTAAACAGATCAGCCAAGAACCCAGCAACATCGCTATTGCATGAGCTCTGCCACATATCTGACTTATCTAGCTTGTTGATAAATTCATGTCTTTAAGGCATTATGAAAGGTCAGCAGGATCAGGCCAATTTATTCTCTTGGGATACGATGTTCCAAAAGGTCGGTATCACAAGAATGATTCTCTTCCTGTGCCCCACTAGATAGCCTTCCCTAATGCATAGAATGCAGATCATGCCTCTCCTCTCAGACCTAATGGGATGGGTAGACTGAGGAAACAGTGATCCCTGAAATAACAGCGCTCCATGCCATGAAGGTTGGACATTAACTTGTACAAGTTACTGTTAAGCATAGGACACTGGCAACCAATGCAAGTCATGGAGCAGAAAATGCACTGATCAGGAAGCACATATTATTGCCAATACCACTGCATTCTGTGCCTCCTGCAGTCCCATGTAAAGCACATTGCAGTAGTCCAAATCTGTTGGGATTTCAAGTCAATATGACCAGGAGTAACAGTCTCAGTCTCTACTTAGGCTGGAAAAGTCCAATCTAGCCAGATCTGATCTTGATCCCAACATTAAATGCAAAATAGTGAGTCTTCTAATAGTCAATGAAAGAACGTTGAGACAAGCAGCAGTGTTCCTTGTTTTCAAGCATCAAAGCAAGCTGTCTGTACATAAATTAAAAATGGATTTAAAATGAAAGTAAAAAAGCAATTATATATAGTAGCCATTTCTCAATCCTTTTTTCTTATTAAAATCTGAAGCAATAGTAGGGTAGTTAGAAGGCTGTGCTAATAATATTTATCAAAATCCTGCATGAACAAGACAGTGGTGTGCTTTCAGCACAAACAAGATAATTGCAGGATCTAAGCTTATGTTCTGGGGAGGCTTCAGCTATTTCCCCAGAGAAGCCTCCAAGAGGAGAGAGGGCTAGTAAACATAAGCCAACTGCAGATAAGGCTGCCCTTTTCCTGCTTCATGTGATAGGCCTGGTTGTCATGCAGATAGAGTAGTTTTTGTGTCCTTTTCTTTTCTTTTTCTTCTTTTACATTTTCAAGATATATTATATTTCAGTTATTTATAGGAAGCCTAAAGTATCTTAACAAATGTTATAGGCTGCATGTTACATACTGTTTTACACCAGAATTACAACTTGTCCCTGAATTACACAACTAGTAGCATCATAAATTTGGAACCAAGAAATAGGGATAAAGGGGCGCCTTAATATCACATTCAAATTATTTAAAACATATCAAGGAAGAAACTTGAGGGCCTCAGCATTAAAGAAAACTTTCCCTTGGCTATACTTTCCATATGCAACACACAAACACAATCCTTCACTCAGTTGCAAACCCTCTTCCCTTATGCATTCAAATGAGAGATGGGTATCTGCCACAGTTTGAACTATCTTCTTAAAATAAGTCACAGGATTTATTTATAACAGAAAATCCTCTTGCATTCCCCCCCCCCACTCCCCAAGATAATCAGTGTGCACAGAACACTGTAAAGCCATCAGTAGAATGGGTTTATTATCCCAAGAACAGGCAACTTTTCCCCACATTTGTGAAATCTGAAGCAAGGTATTGCAATTTTAGAACATATATTAAGTTAAACAAACACTATGCCACTGAAAAATCTTTAAATAAATGTGTACTTGTGTTGATATGTCTCTTTCTTTAATACAGTTTGTGTGTACGTGTGTATGTAAAGATTATTTTTACTGACCTATATTCTTATGGTCAGTAAAATGTCTTGTAATAGACTGTAGTTTATAATCAAGATCTCTGCAGAAACTGAAATGGAACCAAATAAAAATTACAGTTCTGCTCTAGCTTAAATTGTTTTGTGGTTTTGAGGGGGCTTGATCACTGCTGCCTTTATAATTAGATGATTACTCATGGATGAACAGAAGCATACCTGACAACTAGAGAATATTGGGATACCCATGTCCTTAAAATCTCCAGAAACCTAGCAGCTATTTTATTTCCTACCCTTAATATTTATGGTACATTCTGTCATCACTGCAGGTCATCTATAAGTGAATAACAACTGCTGGGATTTTAGAGTTGAAGATGTAGCATTCCTTAAGTCTCAGATTTTAGTTTAAAAATAGTCCCACATGGTTCTAGCCTGCAAAGAAAGGGAATGAAAAAACAAACATGATATTATCAGACAGACATCATTAAATAAATGAAACCAATGAAATTCGTTGCCAATTGCACATTTGGTTCTTATTTGTTTCTATCATGCTTGTGTGTTTCATGGCAGGATCTTATTTTACTAATAAGGCCTGATAAGATTTTTAAAGTGACTATTTAATACTTACATGGATATTATAAGACGTTTTCCCTAACCCAATTTAAACGTCTAACCAGTAGATAGCAGTGTTAAAAACAGGTAAAGATATCCTAGTTGTCTGTATTCATACCTGAACACTATTGACTATATTCATACAATTTTCATGGCAGTGTTATGGAAATGGTTTGAAATTCTCTTCATCCAGGATTTTTTTCAAGTTCCTAGTCTAGCCTAATCTACAGCTGTGGTATTACTAAGTGCTTTTCCTATCAAGATTTTGAGATCAAAATCTCAAAATCTCTTAGTCAAGATTAACTAAGGGTTGGTACCTCCATGCTTAAATTCTACTATAATAATCTAAAACCATTTCCTGAAGATAAAGAACAATTATTTTTATTCATCATTTTCTCATTTAAAATTTAATAAAATTATGTGTTTAATCACTGCATCAGAAATGCTATGTAATCTATCTATCTATCTATCTATCTATCTATCTATCTATCTATCTATCTATCTATCTATCTTTTACATAGCCTGAGCATTACATTCTTACCAAAATATTTTGTTTTGCAATAAAGGAGACATGACAAAGTATGAATCTTTTACTTTATAATAATAATCTACTTGTCTAATAATATTCAGTTTATGCAACTCATATATGTCATCTTCATTATAATCTATATACTCTTTATAAAAGAAACAAAATAAAAAGTTTGTACTAGCAAATTAGATGCTATCTATCCCAGTTTTTGATTATTCCTTGAGGGCCTATATGATTTTTCACTATGTGAAAAATATACCAGCTTTACAATTATATTGAAACATCTGTAATAGATCTATGCTGTAATGCTTACAATTTCACACATATGAAGAATTTATTCTACATAAATACATCCCTTTCACATCTAATAATCTCTTTCATTATTTTAAATATTACCGTAGTTTCTAGAGAGCAAAGCCAACGTTCTTGTTTCAGAGATTAATTAAAGGGCTGGTAAACTAGTACAAATGGGACTGGAGAAGGAGTTCACAGGGTTGTTGTTGTGAGATGAATTGGAAGAGGGGGTGCTATGTACATGGCTTTGAGATCCTGAATAAAGGGCAGTATACAATCAAGACAATAAATAAATTAATCTAACGCAACAAACTTTTGGTAAGGATATATATTTGCTAGTAAAGTACATTTACATCTTGCTCCTCCGGTGTGAGGTTGGCCTGAATCCTCCTGGGCTTTCATAAGAGCTTAAAAACCTGGCTCTGCACAGTATCAGAGACTAAATTGACTTTGAACTTAATATCAGCAGCTAGGCTGTTGGTAGCTCAATATTGGAAGAAGGACTCTTTGCCTACTATTGAAGAGTGGATATTGAAAGTAACAAACCTAGCAGAAATGGCGAAAATCTCAGCGTATTTGAAGGACCACACGCAAGAAAGATACGTATCGGAATGGACAAGATGGATTGATTATATTCAAAATAAGTATCAGACAAGAAAATATCAAATAGCTTATGAATGAATGTTAGTATTAGAAGTATTAGGTTATCTATAGTGGAGTTAAGGTTTCCGGGGGGGGGGGGAGTTAGTACTTTGAGGATAAGTAGATTAATCTATTTTATGATTGATTAAATGAAATACCTTGTATTTTGCTCTGGGAAGTTTGGGGGGGAGGGTGGGATGAGGGGGGGAAGGGTGGGGGGAACATGGGAGGGGGAAGAAAATTTTTGTATTTTTTTTGTAACACTTTTCAATAAAAAACAAAAAACAAAAAAAACCTGGCTCTGCCAGTTGGTTTGGGATCCCAGTGGGGGAGCATCACAGTGGAAGTGGTTGATCGATTAACAAAAGATTCCACCTCCCCCTCTCCCTCCCTGTTCCGGTCTTCCCTGTTGGTAATTGGATCGTAGCATTTGCTGGAATTTATATTTTTAGCATAAATATACATATATACATGTATATCACGTGAATGTCTATCACATGTATACATATTTATTTACAATATGGCAATGTATACATATACACATATACATATATACACATATCTATCTATCTATCTATCTATCTATCTATCTATCTATCTATCTATCTCTTTTATGATTGTAGGACACCCAGAGTTACCATATGTAAGATGGATGGCCAATAAATTTTATAAATAAATAATCTTGGAGGAAAAATGAGACGTATATACAACAGTAAAGTCTCACATGCCTCTCCAACTTTTTCTATAAAAAATAAAAATAAAACTCAAATT